GATTCGCCGCTAAAGATGAATCTGCTGATGACAGTTTCATCAAGTTTTTATTATTTATATTATTTGTTCTGTACCACCTGCACCGCCGAAAATGGTATAGAGCCAAAAATTCGTCACTTTAGCAGTTTTTCGTTTCGAGCAAAAACGCGGTAAAGATATATTTCAAAATTCTCTTTGCTACTTGTATTTGACTTTCTTTCATGCTGCATGCCTTACAGTTGTCAGATGTCTTACAGTTGTCAGATGTCTTACAGTTGCAGATCTGATTGCCATTTCACCGCACCTAGCATGTCTTTTGTTTCTCATTGATGGATCCAGATGTAGCAGTTATGTCCTTCATGAATTTCATCGTCTATACTCGTCATATTCACAGGCAGAAATCTCTCTAGTCTTCCAGTTATGAAACTGATATCCGTAGCTGCCACAGTAGTTGAAGTGGTTCAATGGTTTCGAAATGAGCAAAAGCCTGGGGCTGTGCTTGACTTGGTTTCCTTTGTTAGTCGCATGAAAGCTGTAAATTTAGTGACAGTTCGACACTTGAAATTGTACTTTAGAGTGATATGCTGCGGTCGTTGGCTAACAGCAAGCCGACGGTTAACGAAGAAGATTTGGGAAAACTGAGAAAGTTTACCGAAGACTTTGGTCAAGAAGGCTGACCGTTACCATGTCACTGATTTCTAAAGTATTTCTATTTATTGTATACTTTATATTATATAAATGCGTTAATTTTTCAGTTATCTGTACACACTTTTCATTTTTTTTCTTCTAGTTTTACCTCTAAATTACTTTCGATATGAAATCAGCGCAGTGTTTCAGAGTAAATGTGTTGACACCCTGAAAACGTAAAATCACCATTCACTTTGCATGAAAGCAAAATCTGACTATCACTGCTTTCCAGATTTTTAACATTAACTAAACTATTCAGGGTCCATAATTTCTGGACGATATATCCTTAATTTAGAACTGATTATAAATTTATTTCATGAGACATGAATGAACTAAAGAAAATCATCTTTTAATGTTTTTTACATCACTGAAGACAAGGTTCAAATCTAGCCCAAGGCTAGAACATGTACCAAGTGAAAATTCTCACACAGTATCCAGCCTGCATTTATTTAAACTTGTTTTCCACTGTATGTATTTTGTTTAAATGGTTCTTCGTTCGTATCGTTGAAAGTTTTTAATCAGTAAAGCTATCTGCGTTAACGTAAGTCGATATTAAAATTTAAAATGTTTTCAAATGTTTGGCGCAAAGCAAACGCGTATAAAACAAACAGCTTCTTACAGAAACAACAGGATTCTTAAAACTGCTGCTAAAGCAATAACATGGATAAACAGAGAATGAGAAATCGACTGCAGTATAAATAACACTTATAACGTGAGTTAACTGATCGACAGTGAAGATTAGTGTGAAAAGTTGGCAGCCGCTTGGGAATATTCTAGCTTTACAGTACACACAAAATCAATAGGTTTTGGATCCACCCAACAGATTGTTTCATCCGATAACATAGTAAACAACGGCAAAACTGGCCCCTGCGCCGATAAGGCATCCAACGCAAATAACCAGTGACAAAACAGCGCCGGCCAGATGTCGGTGAGAAGGCGAAACGGCGTGGACGAAGTAGACGCAAGCAAGATTAGTCAGATAACCGTTGGTCAGCCCAAACATAAACGTAAGCGCCATAAAGCCGGCATCGTCAGACATAAACCTGGTATCACGCCGCTCGCTTGATACGTTGCATAGCATGAATGCTGGGATGAAGACTATCCGAAACAGTACGAGCACAAGGAAAATGAACGAACGTTGCGGGGGCTGTAAAAACAAAACGAACGATTATTGATTAGCATGTGCCCTGGACAATACTGACTAAAAGCGGACATATTATAATTCGCTAATCTTTGTATCTTTGCTGAGAAACTAAGCCACGCTGGGGAATAATCGGAATAACAACCCAATGATCAAGTTAATAGAAGCGGTTTCGTGTATCTTGTTCGAAACGAAGGTATCTTGCATACAAACAGCATTTGCCAAGTTCATGCTATTAAAAATAGCGAAAAGTGAAATAAATGTTCTTTTGCAATTTGCACAAAGCGTTATCTACATTAAAAAAATTTTCAAAATCAGGAAGAATGTGTTTGGGTGAAGTTTCCGAAACCAATAATGGTGCTCCTTTAGCACTATTATCATACATTCTTTCAGGCTTCTAATCATCTCTCTTATCGATTACTATTTTGGCCAGCCTGTTCATCTTTTCAGACTGAAGATGCCATGCCGTGAATGACTTAAAATTGTACCGTCCTCTGATTACATGGATTCCAGATAAAGGAAACTAATATTGCACGCGGTACAAACTTCCTTTTGTTTTAAGCTAAGCAACTGGAAACTTGTTCTCCCAGCATACGAACGTATATTTTGCAGTTAATTGAATCTAATGCCTGGAGAACAGTGCTATGAAAGGAAGTATTCTAATTCTATGAAAGATTATAGATGGAGACCGGTTTCGCACAGCATCTGAATGGTCTGTCATGTGGATAAACAATAAACGGATAGATCAAAAGCGACATATTTGTTACCATACAGATATGCTGCTCTGCCCAGCATTAAGCAATGCGACATTGATCTGATAACTGTTTCACATTTCAACTTCTCCCTTACCGCTGTGAAATGAACTTGAAATTTTTGAAAAGTTGAAATTCCCCTTGTTTCCTACACTCTGCCGTCGCATATATTTACTTTTCTGTTAAAATAAATAATGTGGAACCTCTTGTTGATTCAATGCCCAAAAGACAGTACCATCAGTAAACAATTCAATTTCATAGCTTAGCGGTTTAAAATCAGCATAAAATTTATTTGCAGGACCTTTTAAGCATCATTTTCATCAGGACCATGGTCAAAACCATAATGAGCGAAAGCCGACAAATAGAATCAACGTCACTCAAATGTAAATATTATGACTCTCCAGAGATATGGATTCACTAAAAATCTTCAAGTGTATTAATTTTCGTCAATTTATCTAGGTCCAGTGAAGCAGAAAAACGTATTTAGCAGACTATTAATGAAAAGGATGCTAAGTTTATGACAGATTAAATTATCGTTTCATTTAGTACAAATGTTTTATCTGATACTGAAACTCTTATCATACTAGTAATGGTACCATCAGCACAAATGTTTCTCTTTCTGTAGTTTAACAATCGACATGACTAACACGTCACTGCCGTATATTGTGCCTGTCAAAAAAGATTTTACTTTCTTAATCTTCGGGATCATCGATTACAAATAAATAACATGCTGGACATCTGCTACTTTTCTTCCTTTGCATCTTCATCTTCTTTCGCCCCTTCTACTTTCGGGTCGCGGAGGCGGATGCGTCAGACAGTGCTTCCCAAGTTCCCGATCCTGTGCCATAGTCTGAACTTAGGCAAAAGACAAATGCAGTCTGGAACAGACTCCTTCCTTAGGTTTGCACAAGATTAATCTTGGCCGTCCCCTGGGTCTTTTGCCTGTCGGATTTGCAAGGAACAGTTGCTTAGCCTTCCTTTCTGGAGGATTCGCAATACATGCCCAAGCCATCGTAGCTGTGACTTCTCAATCTGGAGATGCAAAAGCTGTAATCCAAGGCTCTTCCGGATGTCACTGTTCCGGACCATGTCGAGACGCCTAAGGCCAGCGACTCATCTAAGAAAGCCCATTTCAGCAGCTTGTACCCGGGTTCGAAGCTTTTTAGTCATGGTCCACGACTTATC